GCTGCGGCTATTGGTAATAGTCACACTCTTTTCCGTCTCAATACTGAATACTGCAGTCACGCGTGGGATCTTGTTCCTCTTGTCTTTTCGTTCTTGATTGTGTTCAGCAAACGGCCATCCGGATGATCGATTATACTTCCTTAGCTTCCTTTTTCGCAGCCTATCGTCGGGCCATTGCTTCGCTGATCCCCACCCGCTACTGTTTTGTTTCTTGATCTTTGAAGCTTACCTCGGCAGTTCTTCTCGCTGATACTTTTGCCCGCCTATCCTGTGCGCACATCCAGTCATCCTCATCAGTTTTCAGTTACTAGATGTATTACTTCTGCAGTTCAGTGTTTTCCGCAAACAGCCCAATTATGGTGCACTCCCACACACTCTCCATGCACTTACCATTCTCCACTCGTTGAACGCAGAATCATTAGGCTGGCGCTTACGCGAATGCTCCCCAACTCTACCTTTTACAGCAGGTTCTTTGACTTGAAGTGTTCCCTCTTGAGACTGTAATTCTTCTGTGTAATAAAAAACTCACCATGGCGGTGCTCTGAAATTGAACCAGATAGACGTCTCGTATTTCTACTACATCCCGTAGGACAAAGAAAATGTAGAAAACTCTGCATTATCCGCTGATGCTCTCCGCATTAACAAGCGATAGCGCTTTCGTTTATGACTACATTCATCACGAGGAGCGATCTAAAGATAATTCGCGTTTCTGTTCATTTTGTTTTTCCACATTTTACTGAGTTCTTCCTCCATCAGGTGTACGTATTCGTTCTGACAGAGGCATATGGTGCTCAATTTTTTTTAAAATAAAAGTTCTCGATGACTTTTGCCGAATGACTTTGCACTATCTCGATGTGTCTCTATTGATTCATCCCATCAATCCTAGACCGGGAAAGCCTCCTATTACCGTAGCACAAATCATCCGAAATACTTGGGCTCGAGATGGATTTCGTGGATTCTATCGCGGTGTCAGCGCTTCGTATGTGGGATCCCTGGAGACGGCTTTAAACTTCATGATCTATGAAAACATAAAGGCGCGGCTTCTCTGGTGGGATTTGCAAAGACGACAACACTTGACCCTGGAAGTTTCTGATGTGAACTCCACCTCGTCCTCTTGTCATACTGGCACCGCAGCCAAGGCTACTGATCTGCGCGGATCACGCGGGGGTAGCAAATTGAATGCATCTAGTGATATGGTTTTATGCATGATCGCTAGCGCGTGCTCCAAGGTGGTTGCCATTACTGCACTGTATCCCCACGGTGAGTTTGTTTGCTCCTTTGCTATGCCTTTTCTTGGTCATACTCGGTTGGTTTGATACTCAGCATCCTGCCATATTTCCTCATTCCGTTAGCATGCACTGTAGTTTGATGACACAACAACCGGTTACTCCAATGAACGGAATTGTATTTCTTGAAAACCAGGTTTTCCACGGACGACAAATGTGTTTATATATAATTTCCTCTTCTCCAAGTGCTTTTTCACACCTGTCGATTCGTTAGCAGTGCACCGTTTTACTCAACTCCATTAGTACACTTCACACGATATCCTTTTCGTATCGAACTATCAGTGCCTTCAAGGCAGCACTCGAATCTGGTGTAGGCGGTTATTATCGTCGTGTGTTGTGCGTTTTGCATGTGCATAAGTACATAAGTACCGTATCATTATCCTGTGTAGGGAAATGCAGAAGTTAACTTTGGTTGGCGCTTCTTACCTTGCTGGTTTGAGCCCAGGAGATGGTTGTCGTTCGCCACGGCGCGGCTAATTGAAACGAGCAGAAAATTGAAGGATAACCTTATTTTGAAGACCCTTAATTCATTATTGTTTTCCCCTCTCCAATTTCTTCCCAGAGGTGGTGCGTACTCGTTTGCGCGAGGCGGATGGTCGCTATCGAGGATTCTTACGGACATTACGCCGAGTTGCTAACGATGAAGGTTTCTCCGCTTTGTATCGAGGTATGGGCACGCATTACATTCGCCAGGTCCCAAATTCTTGCATTATGATTGGNTATGATTGGCACCTACGAGGTCGTTGTCTTTTTGCTTCAATCCTGGGGCTTTACTAAGACCACATGATCATCCATTCCCTTCGATTGCAGTTCCGTTGTGTGCATGCAATCTAACAGGCCGATGTGCACTCACGTGTGTGCAGTATTTGTCACAACCCAACCCCTACTCCATCCATTTTCGTCATCATACAGTGCTCGAGTTGTTCCATCGTTTAATCTAAATTGTTTTCTCTTTAACCACAGTTTTGATTTTTCTCTTGTGTCTCACCGCAATTTCGAACTGCGTTATATGCACTCTTGTGTTTGGTCATATATGGCCTCCATTCTGCCTCTCCCACCTATCTTTCATCTGGACTCATTCCTCCATTTTTTGTACAAAGTCCGTGACATAAAACCCCACACAGAAGTTCGGTTATCTCGCTCCCCTGGTTCCTTTTCCTTATTTACTGCGATTCGTACCCATCACTGTTCCTGGTCGCCATCTTCCCTGCGCGCCTCCCACACACCGGCGCATGCTTTCCACGGTCCGTTGGGCATCCCTCAGGGCTCTCTACCTCCGTCTCTCTTTCGTTGCATGCGACCGAAAATCGTTTCTTTTTCACGGTTTCTTCCCTCTCTTCCGTTCGACCACAGTTTGCCTTAACCAATCAGATTACAGTCAGTCGGGCGCGCGTACAAGACAGGATACATCATTCATTCATTTTATTGGTGGCGGCCAACGGATGTCCACACGTACTGCTGATACCATGCCATGTGCCTAATCTCGCCCACATTTTTAAAATACTTGCTTCTCTTTCTAGTTCGTAATTATTTTCGTAGCAGTACAGAGTACGACACCACTAAAGTATTTTCTTAATTTTTCCTGTTCCTGGTTGTTTGATCTGATTTCACTCACCTTGACGAATGAATGAAAACCACGGCCTGCATCATCTGTGTGAATTAGTCACCAGTTGTTCCCCAAACTGCAATAAATAGAAGATTGAATAATCGATTTACATTGAGCTTAAAGCGCCAAATCAATGGGACCCCTGTTATAACCGCACAAGGATCTTCTCAATACTGGATTCTCAAAGGATCGTACTCCGGTAACGTTTTTTCTTCCAGATAGGAACTCCACAGGTAGTGAAATAAAACACAGGTGGAATGGTGTAGGAATTTGTTTATTATGCGAAAATCATGGTTATTTATAGGATAGGGGAATGCAAATATCAAACGATTAGTTGACTGGATTGCGGTTGGCGGTTACGGCCAATCCCCTGAGTTCGCTATTGATGTTCTGATTGGTTGTCCCAGAAAAAAGCAGTTTTCAGGGAACATGCTGACCCGCTCACAATCCCAGGATATAAGCAAGAGGGGAATTCGGTTAGCGATGAGTTGGAATTCTAATACACCACTTCCTTGACAATATGACAGTAATCTACACAAGCCGGTCTTCAGTACTTTGTGTCAATTCACTCTCGGAATTTTCTATTCTCATGGTGAATTGTTATCAATGGTTTCTCCGATAATCTAGTGTATTCGGTACATAAATTATACCGTTTTAGGTTCGATTTGAGAAACTTTTACCCTAAATTGCAAAACTGCCAATTCGATTTGACAATTGTAAGTTTGAATTGACAACGAAACGCTTCCGTCCATAGCACCTCATTTGTCGGTTAGTCGCAGGTTTTTTCTACCCCGCGATAGACCACTTTTCGTCTCACTCAACTTTTTGTTTAAATGAGGCAAACCTCAGCCTTGCATCTTGTCGAGCTCGCTGATGAACGTAGATTCCGTGCGATTTGTATGAGACAGATATGCTGACTCGCAATCCATGGTGCGTTGTTTACTGCACGCTACAGCTAAGGCAGGGCTGGTCGGAGCTACTCGGATGTTGGCGATACTTCAATCATCAAAGGTCAGCACAAAATTTACAACCACGGAAAATGCACGTTCCATTCCGTGGATCATGGGATTATTCGAATGGCAAAAATTTTTGAGAAGCTCGGGTTGGGGTTATTGGGCGAACTTTGGGGAAAAGTCGCGAATACTGCGCCACTTTGCAATCAGTTCTGCTTTGCGGTTGTGAGACCTTGAACTTGCGGGTAGAAGATATCCGTCGTTTGGCAGTGTTCGACAATCGATACCTACGTCGTCTGGCTCAAGTGGGATGGAGTGAGCGGGTTAGTAACTTGGAAGTAAATCATCGGGTGTTTGGGAATGCAGCGAACAAGAACTCGCTATCGCATCGAATCCAGCTCAATAGGCCCCGTTCGCTAGGACACGTTTTGCGTATGTCCGACGGTCGCCTGCCGCAGCGCGCCTTATTCGCAGTGACTGTTGCAGGCTGGAGAA